AATAAATCGGAAGGGGTGCTAATTGGGATTGTTCAATAGCAAATATATTAGCAATTATCGCTGTGGGCGCTTATTAGAGCGGGGCGCTAATTACGTCGAATACGGTAAATATAGTACTTAACAGCATGTAATATATTCTCAGATTTAGTTGGTCACATTTTAAAATAGTTTGAAATATTTGAACCTGTTTAAACTCACTACACATTAAAACACAGCTTGTGTCTGTATTGATTTGAAACGAGTTTCCAGCTGTGCAATATCTAGACCACAATACCCTTTGTAAAGTTGACTTGCGTGATCTCTGATATCACCCAACCAACACACACCCACTTCAGTTCAACAAAAGATGTTAATTAGATGAACATTATATACAGTCAATGATTCAAAAGATGATGTGCATCAGTGACAAGGAAAGACCATTTTATTGTTAAAAATCAAATATGCATTATTGATGCTTTGCTGCAGCTGCGTGCAGGGATGGAAATTAGCACTAGCCTGCTAGTCCCAACCAGTTTTGTTAATGTTAAAGGTATAACAAGGACTAGTAGAATTTCACTCATTTTCTGGGGTATGTTGTCACTATTTTGGCTAGTAGATGTTTTCGGTAAAGTCCCATCCCTGTGGTGACGTTTATACTAAACAATAAAAAACCATTAAAACCCATGTATTGATCAATGGCTGAGTAAATTAATGCAATGACATTTCCAAAGTTGTCACCATGGTAGCCATGGTTACTTAAATGAGTTCTGTATCATTCTGAAGCCACTAATTTAAAGTCTAATTCCAGTAAATTCCATTTCAGTCTCCACTGCACTCCGAGTCAGATGGATAGGGATTTATTTTTAATATATTTTCACAAAAGTCCAAAAAAAGTATCTGCTTGGGAGTTTCCACCTACCTCATGACAAAACTGGTAGTCCACAAGGAAATGTCACTAATCCTTCCAGAATTTTACTCATCTCGGAGAAGTGAATTTATGAATATTCCTGCTATATGATGGCATGTAATTAATTAGTCATGAACAAGTGATTGATATTATGACCAACATCCAATGCCGTTGGGGTACGATGACACCCAATCAACCAACTCACCTGGACTGACCACCTGAACCTGACAACAAGCAATCAACCAACTCACCTGGACAGACCACCTGAACCTGACAACAAGCAATCAACCAACTCACCTGGACTGACTACCTGATCCCGACAACAAGCAATCAACCAATTCACCTGGACTGACCACCTGAACCTGACAACAAGCAATCAACCAACTCAGCTAGACTCTGACCACCTGATCCCGTGACCACCTGATCCCGACAACAAGCAATCAACCAACTCACCTGGACTGACCACCTGATCATGACAAGCAATCAACCAACTCACCTGGACTGACCACCTGATCCTGACAACAAGCAATCAACCAACTCACCTGCACTGACCACCTGAACCTGACAACAAGCAATCAACCAACTCAGCTAGACTCTGACCACCTGATCCCGTGACCACCTGATCCCAACAACAAGCAATCAACCAACTCACCTGGACTGACCACCTGATCACGACAAGCAATCAACCAACTCACCTGGACTGACCACCTGATCCCGACAACAAGCAATCAAGCAACCAATCTCATCAAAATCAGATATTAGTTCTCGCTACCGGTAAACAAAGATCTGAGGACATCCCATTACGGGTCACGTCAGACCAACCTTGCGCGAACTATGACTGACCAATGGAATGACTGACAAGAAGTCGACATTAGCCAATCAGAAGGCAGCTTTCTCGTGCTTTACAGCACTAATTTCAAATTGGTGACTACGCCTCAAAACATATTTTGACAAATTCTCGATTAAAAATTTGAAACCTGAACAAAAGAACATTCTGGAATGGCTAATAGATGGTCTAGATTGTATGGATTTCGTTTAGCCCGAAACTATCTTTCGGAATACCCCATGTTAAAGTTTTTACGAGGTCGCATGATCAGAAATCACATTCCGACTGTCACTTTCATGATCTGGTAAGCAATGGTCTGACTGGTCAGATGAAGGGTCGTCCTGACGTGACCCCTATTGGGATGTCCTCAGATCTTTGTTAAGCGGTAGCAAGAACTAAGAGCTGATTTAGCTGAGATTGTCAACCAACTCGCCTAGACTGACCACCTGATCCATAAAGTTGTCTCCTACAACAAACACAGTTTGCTGGGGACCAAGCCTGTCTAACCCGGGATCCCCATGGGGGCTATTGTTATTGCCTATGATTGTGAAGTTAGGGCTAGTAAATAGTGTTTAGAAAAACAACTGCTGTGCATGTACTCTGCATCGTGCCTGAATCATCTACACATGCAAACTTCCATATTTGGCTGATCTAAGAAAAGATGTCACTTGATCAAGAGGGCTTCAAATGCCAAACACTAAATCAGAGTCAACAACTAAACCTTAATATGAATAATATACAATACATTTTACACATCAAAATATTAGCCCCATGTATTAGCCGTATGTTTCAAATTACATACACTGTTGTGCAATTATAGTTTACATGACGTTTTAACTCACATAAATTGCAGGACAAAGCCCTGGAGACTGTCTAATCTTATTTGGGAAAAAAAATAAAGTATTTTTTTCCTTGCCACAGACCCCATATTATCAAGAGTGGCACCAAAGTTCTGAAATATTTCTACATTATTCTTTCACAACAGGGTATCGATAAAATGCCAGGAAACGTTCAAGAAAGGAAGAAAAGATTGATTATCGTGATAATATTCTAACTGTCATAACAATCAAGACAGTATTAATAAATGGCACCAAAGTCTTCAGCTCATAATCTTCATCAGATGGAATCAGCCATTAAGACCACAAAAGGGAATAACAAATGCAACTATAATGGGGCATATCAGATTAAATGCTTAATTATTTTTATCAAAATGAAAATGAACTCGGGAGATATATTTGGGAATTTATCTATTCAGGTATAACCATGATAACAACAATATATCCCAGGGATTTATCTATTCAGGTATAACGGCTCTCTATACCAGGGATTTATCCTGGATTGCAAACAAGTGCTTTGGCAGGCAGATTGGGAACAATTAATTTATTTTTTTCAAAATTGTGATCTGTTTTCATATTTTCCTATTCAGGGTATTTTAAAATTGTATTTTGACAATGAATGCATTCTTTGCAATAGTTTAAACATTCCATTCTGTGAAGGAACTTATAAAGCTAAGCATTTGTCTTCTTCCTCTTTATCTGTCCTGCTAACAATGAAATTCTACAAGTCACCTCAACAAAACCCATCACATGAATATTAACATGAACTGGGAATTGTAATTCCAATTTAGAAATGTTTACCAATTTTCCCAGGATTTATTCCTATCAGCCTCTGAGAATGTCTTGATCAATCCTGAATACATAACAAGATTACGATATAATTGTGCCTAGATGCAACACTCTCAGGTTATCTGTATCCTCAGTGAGTGTTCCCCGACACAGTTGAGTGGGAGGCCATTGCGTTACATGCTTCAGGGAACACACAAACAAATGACAGTACTTCTGATGGCAGGAGACAGGAAGTTGCATGATAAAAGTACATCCGTCTGTACGGATACATCACATTGAAAATATAAAGACGTTAAAATGTATAGGTTAACTTGGTCTTTCTCTGATACTTCTGTCCTTTTGGCCTCTTACTTACGGAGTACTTCAGTCATTGCTTGATGTGACACTATCATAAATACAGTCCTCAATAGATGGTGATTAATAGGGTGGATGAATTTTATGATACTTCCCAATAACATGTGGAACTTGTTTATATATACATATCCATAGCAATAATGATTTGAAGGATGACTTCCAGGTATTGACAAAATAATTAATATTTTTAATAATTGTTCAGGTTTGAATCAATACACAGTGTTTCAAATAATGAGATTATTTCCCATCTTGCACAATAAACACTTTCAAAAATTTCAAATCATAATTTACATTTGAACATCACAGATGTAACAAAGGTGTTTTTTTAATATACTACTAGATCTCCAGACAGTTTAATCATGTCTATGAAGGACTCCAACTGATGTTATCTGTGTCAACACATTCTACGCATAGACTTCATGCAGTGTTCCCCCTATAATCTCATAGATAATCTCAAACGTGTGGTGGTCCAAGAATCTGTTAAAAACTATGACCTTCATATTTCTACTGCTATCATTCTCTGGATGTAAAGGTTCACACTTAGTTCTAGGGATGAAAACAATAACATTTCTATAAAATCGATAGACATTGTTCTTTCTGAAGACCACACGGTTCCTTAGTGGAAAGTATGCGTGATATTGCACGTGCATTATACAGATATTGGCTCTCGGATGCTTTCACGCTTCGTACAATCTATGCCGACTTGCGTGTGACTTGCGTCGCTCACACAATATAGGAAATCAAAACACACGCCCCGAAGTAATGTATACAACATAAAAGATATCTTCAGATCGTATTATTTGTCAAGCGTATTCACGATCATGTCTGACAACACGTACTGCAATGCAGTATACTTCCCTCACAAAAATGCGACAGTAGATATGTAAACAAACCCTACCAACGACGGCCGTGATTTGATCGCGTCTAAAATTTACTAGATCTTGTGTGTACTCATTTTAACAACTGTAGTAAGTAGTTTGGATTTATGTGCTGTCAGATATGTTTTATGAATAGTCGAAATGTATCGCCTGTTTTATGTCACAAGAAATATTGTCTTTGAAAATCCAAAAGGACCTAGATCTACGGTAAGTCAATTCATTAATTGTCATTTGCTCGGGCCACAGAAGCAATCACCGAATAAAAAGTTTTTAAAAAACCCAACACATTGCTCGGTTACCAGTACAGACGATTCGTAAATTCCGAGAAATATGTTTACTCGTCTATAGCGAGCCCAGCCTGCGCACACCTCTCACCATAACAAAGATCGCATGCCTCGTCTCACCCATTCACGGATATTCTACCGACTTACCGTTGTAGCGCTTTGACTTGGGTTTGCTCACATCCTCGCCCATAATCATCAGCGAGAGTCCAAACATGAGTAATCCTAAAACTGAACAGTACGCGGCATTATACATGGTTATTCCGTGAAAGTACTCCGACTAACTTTGAAAGCTCCACATTGACAATGTTGTTCACTCAAACTCGTGAACTCGGAAGCAAGCCTTGACCTTTCGCCTTTCTTGACTATCCAATGAGATCAGTTATATTTATCACATCGCTCTCCAATTGGTCAGCGGGTACAGGAGTTTACGATGTGTATATAGCATATTTCAGAATAGCAGGCGGGATTCGACTGAGTGTAGTTTGCGAGCGCAGATTAATCGGTTGGGTGATAAATTGTTCTTGAGTTAATGCGAATGCCTTACAGTAATTCTAGACCACAGTCATTGCAGGTTTTCAGAACACACCGTGGTCTTCTAAATCCGACAAGGCATGGACAATGTCTGTTCTTAGATGGGAAGACTATGTTATTATATTACATGTTCCCGATCATAGACAAGTGTTGACTTCTCTGGACCTATCTCTAAGTGGGTTATTTGTTTGTTGTTTTACGCCGCACTCAGCAATATTCTACAGGCTGCTTGGGACCTATATTTTTACCCGATACCCTTACCGGTTAGCGACCAGGTTTACGTGTTTCACGTGCACGTACCATACACTATAATGTTAGAAATACGGAACGATATTATGCAAATAATAATGTGCATAGATACTAACTTGTACACTCAGTCGTCATTGTTGCACATACAAGGGGTACTGACGTCATAGCAAAGTGTTCATACTTACTTTACAAAACATCCAAACAAATAAATCATACTTATGTGTATTAATTCCCCGTAATTTGGTTACACATAGTTAGTTCGTTAAATTTAATTTAATCATAAATTATACATAAATATAAACCATAATTGTAGAAAAGTACACAATTTACATTGAAACGAAAAATATTAATTTATGAATGCCACTGGCGATTTGAAAAACAGATAAATTCAATTCAACTTTGTTTCTGTGTTTTCGGCCGATGTCTCTACTCAACCTATATGTTAGCTAGGTATAATTAGTGCGAGTTTGAAATTTGTATGGTATTAAATAAGGTAGGCAGTAGTAAGTGTACACGTTTCTTGTTTAGGGAAATTGAAATAGTTACTGGTGGGTTTGGTTTGATAGATGCCTACTAAAATATAAACTATCTGCCAAGCGTTGAATAAACAGGCGTTGTTTAACTTGGCTTGTCACATGACATGTTTATCTCATCGACTGACCTGTCAAATCTGTAGTTTCATGAGTGACGCAGCCTCGAGAGAAATGTCAACAGTTTCAGGCCGCGAGGTGAGATAAACATGGCACTGGACACGAAAAGCCAGATGCCCTTTTTATTATGTATTTTTCTAAATTTCTTAATGATCTTATGTATTAAGTCCAATTAAGTATTATTTTTATGGGGATTTTTTTTCAGATAAACAAAGTATTCCATTACTAAATACCTAATAAACAATTATTCATGCTTCAGCGGTTTCTGTCATACCCATCTTTAGAAACAATTATTTACTAATTAGCAGTATGTCAACACCCAGAAGGTATTATTATTAATTAACGTGGATTGTCTGCATAAGGAGGGGTTTACAGAAACAGGCTTGGTGACTTGGTTGATTGTATGTCATCGAACCTAAAATCGATGCTCATGACGTCAATCACGGGGTTGTCTGGTCCAGACTCGATTATTTACAGACCGCCGTCATATAGCTGGAATATTGCTGAATGCTGCGTTATACAACAAACAAATAACCATTTCTTAAAACAGCAACTTCACCGAGGCGTGAGGCTGTGATGGGATGCCATTACAGGGATGACAGGCAGATTGGTAATGATTTAACACCTGCTTTACATTATAAATATTTTCATCAACTAATTATTAATGTAATACAATTTATAATCAAGCTCGTCGAAATGTTAGAAACTGATACATTTACGTACATTATACATTCAAGGTATAATAAACATTTTTAGAAAAGAATTCTGACGTTTTTGCAACTTACCACCCTTAAAAACCTTACGCCTGGCCGTCAATCCCCGTTGCTCAACACGGCCTACTCCGGGAGAGCGCATGGATTAGTGATCACACAGATTAGGCAATCTGGGCTGACCAGTAATTAGACAATGTGGGTATTAATCGGTTTAGGAAATTAGACGATCAGGGTATACTCCATTGTCCCAGACTGTTCTGTGTCCTCGTGACCTTACACTGACTGCTCACATGACACGATTCATTATAATGACGTAACGAGCATGAATGGATCCAATAAAGATTCTTTGACTGAAGAGTTTAATGCCTTTGTTTCGCTTTTGATTGGATAAACGAGTATTATGATCATTAAGAAATATTCGTTGAGACACGGATACTTCGATGCCTATGCTGCACACAATATTGTTACAGATACACTGTACAAGACATGCAAGACGTCACGCTTTGACCAGTGCGTGTCGTTGTTTGAAAGCCAGTGAAGCGTCCATAAACAACTCCCACCAATAACTCCATGTCGATCAACATTGCACGGTTGGTTGGTTGGTTGTTTAACGCCGCACTCAGCAATATTACAGCTACATATGCATGACGGCGGTCTGTAAATAATCGAGTCTGGACCAGACAATTCAGTGATTAATATCATGAACATCGATCCACGCAATTGGGATCGATGACATGCATTAACCAAGTCAGCGAGCCTGACCACCCGATCCCGTTAGTCGCCTTTTACGAGAAGCATGGGTTGCTGAAGACCTATTCTACCCCGGAATCTTCACGGGTTTCATTGCACGGTACATGTTAATATATATTTAAATAAGACAACTTTATTTTTTGGACTAAATGATAATCTAGCCGACCATCAACAGACCAGGGGTACTCCGAATGGGTTGTTTATTAAGACGTATCACACACGGGGTACATACAAGGTGCATATATATAGACAGTAAACAGTAAACTACGGGCCATGCATTTGTTTGTTTGTTTCTTTGATGTTTAAGCCGCATTCAGCTTTATTCCAGCTATATGACGGTGGTCTGTAAATAATCGAGTCTGGACCAGACAATCCAGTGATTGACATCATGAGCATCGATCCACGCATTTGAATTACGATGACATTCATCAACCAAGTCAGCGAGGCTGACCACCCGATCCGACAAGCATAGTCGCCGTTTACGGTAAGAATGGTTTGCGGAAGACCAATTCTACATGTACCGAAAAGAAACAAAGAAGTTGAAATCCATGTCGATCCTTCCTTTGTATACCTCTAACCATAACTCGATATGCTCAACATGCTCTTACTATGCTCAATATGATCACTATGTTCATAACTTGATGTGCTTAATATGTGGTAGCACATGCTACTGATACAGTCGGTAGCGTACACTCTACTCTTCTTTTAACGAGATATTTTGTTGCTATAGAGATGATTTTGTCGCTTTTATTTATTGACTATTGACGTCAGCTGTATGAAATGACAGACATTAGTTTTGTTTAAGAGACTCTATTATGGAAAGTAACTCATTTGTTCAATATAACTCAACAAGGATATATGACTTATGTCAAAGCGTATACTTCCGTGGAGGACAAGTAGTATGCAGCAACTAATAATTGTTGTAGACAGTCGAAGGCACAAGAAGTAAGTAAGGTGAGTTTAATGCTGTTTAGAAGAGTATCGAAGGTATAACAGTACACATGTTCTTTTTATTCCTGTCCATTTCTGGTGTCCACCGCCGTGATATTGCTAGAATATCACCCACTTTTTTATTCCAATTATATTTTTTTCACACTTACAGCCTTAAGTTGATCGCCTCAAACAAAAACGAAAGAAAACAGTTCATCGCCTCAAGTAGCGACTGCAGGAAAATAGGAAATATGAATTCAGTGATTAGCAAGTTAAAAAAATATTTCACGTTTGTGTCCGTGTCATATTTTTTCTCACTTTTAAATCTTCCCGGTGGTAACTTTCACCTCATTAAAGGTGACTGCGTTCAACCAAGTTAGCATTCCAAGCAAATTTGATTCAAATCGTTTAAAAACCATGCACTTTGTTATCTGCTAACTTAAATTATATTATGAATAAGGTGCAACTGTTAATGCGTATATTCTTTATATGCATCTATAAGTATATACATATGACAAGGAATATTAGGGATAACAACCTTTTTCATTATACATACCTACATTATACATGTCTGAAAAGCCTAACTACCTGATTTCCTCTATTAGACGCCTGTTCTTCAGTACACACCGGCCTCTAATTGGCGCCGGGTCATACGCTCTATCCAAAAAATAAAAAGTCCGTTCTCTAATACTCTGATATGTTGATAATTAATATTGACCGTTTCCTGCAAATGTACTCCTGCTCTTTTTATGACAGTTGAATTAGGAATTCAGTAAGGTAGCGAGTTGCCACTGTGCCAAATTAAACATAATATAAGCAGGGTCAACGGCTTGCGCGAAATCTATAGATTCCAGGGCCTTTATAAGACGGCATTAATAGTTATTATATTATCATCAAAATATTTGATTATCCCTTATCAATCAAGATTAATTATGTCATCATGTAAATGATGTAGGATGACCAATATCAAGCTGACCTCCCCATGACAAAGACTTATCACAGAGAAACTACTGTTTCATCTGAACATTTCAAGGCTTAAGTTAAGTCTTTATAGTAGGCCATTCCACTGTCTAGAAGTTTCCATGGCAACCCTTAACTGTGACAAAATAAAGGGCAATAAAAGGATTTATCACTGTCTCATCAGCATAGAACAAAATAAAGGTAAATGCAATACAAACAGTGGATTCCTTCGTGAATCTTCTTGATCATACACTTAGATTCAAGGTGGCGATGGTATCCAAAGTGACACGGTATTCTCAAATGATGGAAATACAATAATCAAATAGGCATTACTCATGAGAGTTGTCAACATTTTGAGGAATTAACTGGGGATGATAGAGGTTTCATCATGTTGATGAAAATGGACAAAATTGGTTGCCACACTGTCATCTCCGACTGAAAGGACTATCTCCAACAGCCAGCCATGCGAACATGGTGTCAACTTTGGAGAATGATGCGCCTTTCTTTGTCACTGTTGGGAGGTGGGCAGGGGAAATCAAGAGGGGAAGAGAGAGCCTC